TGTTGGGGGTGGGGCGGGCTAATCGCCCACGCCCTCTCCTGGTCTTTACTGGTCTATTAATTTTTTTTTAATATTAAATTAATTTAAATTAATTTATTAAATTTATAATTTAAATTATGAGATATGTTAATTCCTAATCAGTTCGGTATTAAATAATAAAATTAAAAAAAAACTACCTAAACAAATTTATATTAATCTAAAAAATTCACATATTGAGTCATGAGATTACGATAACTTCATAAAAAATATGTCAAAACAAAATTATGAATCTTAATTTTCAACCAACTCAACGTTGAAAGATAAAATTAAAAAATCTAATTAAAAAATAAAAAAAAAATTAAATCAACCTAAGTTAACTTGTTAAACCTACAACTTGGATCATGAGATTGAGATAAATTTATAAAAAAATAAATAAAAAAATTATGAAACTCCGTTTTCAACAAATCCAATGATAAAGGTTGAAATTAAAAACAAAAAAAATCACAAAAAAATTCAATCACAAAAATGGTAAAAAAATAATAGAGTCAACTTTAACTCACTTGTTTAATCAACTATTTAGGTTATATGATTAAGATAAATCATGAGAAAGAAAATAGAAAAAAATATAAAATTTTATTTTTAACAAATCTAATATTAGGGGTTAAAATTGAAATTAAAAAAATTAAATTTATAAAACTTATATATAATCTGCACAAAAAAAGAGTACAAATCACTATTCTCAAACACAATCTAGCAATAAAAATGAAATTGAAAAATAAAAACTGAAAAAATATACTAGAGAATTAAATTAAAATAAGATATTATTTTAATGAATAATATTTTATAGATGTGATTTATTAATACCTCATTAATATATATTTTTTAAAATAAATTTGTGAAACTTACATACAACCGAGCACAAAAAAATAAAAATTAATTACAAATTATTATACACAAATAAACTTAGTATTAAAAATAAAATTGAAAAGAAAAAAATAAGATCATATTATTAAATAGTTAAATTAAATTAAAATATTATTTTAATGAATTGTATTTAATAGATTTTATTTAATTTTGTTAATGTCAATACCCCCATTAATATATTTTAAAAGAAAATATGGCACCAACATTTGAAGCGATCATACATGCACTTCATCTAGAATAATGTAATGACAAACAAATCAAGTCGGTCCACGACATTTTCCAGATATTATACCATTCTTAGTCCATGCTAATTTCACGTTTTGCACATTGGGAACTACAACACGCGCGTACAGAGAGAGTCGTAGGCGTCTGCAACAGGCACGGACGAGTGTCTCGCACACGTGTACGCCATGTCAGGCACGACAGGGACTACTAGAGAAAAGAAAGGTAGGGGCGGTCAGTCAGATTGGGCGGCTCAAAGCCCCCTGTCGCCGTTAACACCCAATAATATCGTCCGCGGTTCCAGATTTGCCCCCATCAAGCTGCCTGTGACGCATGCAATACTGTGTTTTTACCCCGGCTGGTGTAAAACCAGTAGCATAGAATTAGAGTCCAAGGACCAAATGGTTGATGATGGCAGCAAAAGATCAGGCAACGAGTCTGCAGCTTGCTTGTTCAAGTAATTCCAAGCTTTCTCTGTAATTGGCTTCTAAAAGTCATCCATTATCTTCGCATCTAGTTGAAATCTGACTGGAGGGAAAAGCTAAAAATAAAATATTTGAGATTATTCTACCATCGTCAGGTTATTCATCTAACTATTGCTTTTCAAGATATTTTTAACTTAAAAATATATAAAAATAATATTTTTTTATTTTTCAAAATCAATTTTTTATATAAATATATCAAAATAATAAAAAAATACTAAAAATTAATTTTTTTATAAAAAAAAAATAGATTAAACCGCAACCCCATAAGAACACCTCATCTCGTGGGACAAGATTGCTTGAATGTAAAGCTATCTATACTTTCACCTTTAAGGTGCTTCAAGTTTATCAACCAACTTGTATGGGTATGTGTGGAGTGATTGCGCTTCCCTGCTGCATCTTCTTTTGATGTAGAAAAGATGGAAGGAAAACAACACATTAATGAATGGACGTGCTGCCTACCGGAATATTCTTAAACACAAACTACATGCATGGATTGATTTTAAGGCAAGAGACTTACTAGTCACAGATGTGAGTTGGAATCATATATGTTGTCCGAAAAGCATCCACAAGGAATTAACTAAAACCCAATTTACCATTCCCTGCAACGCCCCCTTTCCTTTTTCAATCTTTATATGTCTTTTATAGCACTCCCTTTTTATTTTATTTTGGCACTGTCTCAAGAAAAAATAATTGAAACACGATACCTCGCATAAATTCTACATGGTCAAAGAAATCGGCGAGAATACCACGTCTCGCCGGTTGTGGTCCCGAACGGGAAAATTATCACCGGCCGAAGATTTTTGGAGCTAAAGAATGAGTTACATATAATATGTAAACACCTGCCAGAATGATAATCCAGCACGCCTGTACTCGTCATTTATTAATATTCTATGTAAAAATCTACCCTATAAGAGAATCAGGACCAGCAGTTACAGTTAATTAAAACTCTCCACGATCTTTCCGTTCACCGTGGCCATTGCTTTTGTCTTCGGCACGCGCGATGTATAGGACCTCATTACAGGTGAAAATAAACAGCAGCTTACAAATAATATTTAGACCCGGTTTGGTATCACAGGCATTACCCAACTTTTTAAAAAAATTATTTTTTAAAATATAAATTTTAAAATATTTTAATTTTTAGATTTATCTTCAGATATTACCATATCATAAATATCATAATCACTAAAATCTTATATAATTATTAATTTTTAAATTTTTAAAAATTAATTTCATTAAAATAAATAATAATAATAATAAAGAGTTGATTGTCAAGAATACCTGTGGGCTGAAGGGACGTGGCTCGCCCCACCTCACAAAGGAAAACAAAGGGCGGAGGGATGCAGTTTTACAGTTCCCAAAATTCTCTGGGTATAACTTTTCATTGGGTGCAGTTTTCCCAGTGTTGTGTGGTGTAAAGGTCATCGATGTCCTAGACTTTCTTTCTTCCGCGCAGTTTTGTTAACGTGGTTTAAATAGCATTTCATAATTTTATTTATTTTTTATTAAAATAATTTTTTAAATTATTTTGGTGGCTAAATTCAAATATTATTTTTTAAAAATAAAAAATATTATTGTAGTATATTATAAAATAAAAAAATAATTAAAAATAACAATTACTATCAAAATATTAAATATCATTCTCTTAAATAAAATAGAAAGATAATTAAAAATAACAATTATTATCAAAATATTAAATATCATTCTCTTAAAATAATTGTGGCCCTACGGTGCTATCTTTTAAAAATTTTATAATTGTTAATAATGTTAAAGATGATATGGGGAGTTTATTTAGAAATATTATTTTGGTTGTTTTTTAAATAATTTTTTATGTTAAAATATATGTGAATAATTTTTTTATTTAGCATATTAAAATAATTTAAAAATACTAAAAATATATTAATTTAAAATAAATAAAAAATAAAAAAATTAATTTTTTTTAAAATATTTTTAAAAAACAAAAATAAACAATTCCTGAAATCAGACAGATTCCTCCGTCCCCTAAAGCAAGTCATGTTTAATCTCTTACACGTACTAACAAAAAAACATTAAATACTATATGGGTTGTTATTTCACATTAAATATGGAAGATGAAAAGTTATTGAATTTAATTTTTTACCTTATGAGATGGAAGGAGTACTTTTATTTCATAAAGTAGTATTTTTTTTCCCTTCATTCCTCCTTTAAAGATATATTATGGTAAGTTACATGCGTATGTGCGTGTGATATAAGCTAGAGTGGAGCTGGGGAGGGGTGATGAAATGGTGGAAATTGGGTGTAAAGAGAGAGAATGAGAGGAGACGATCTTCCTTTTCAATTTTTTTTTTAATAACTACTAATATCTTTTAAGTTATTTCATGAATTTATTTTTTAAAAAATAAAATAAATAAAATAAAATGCATGCTTCACTAAAAATGATAAAAATATTTCTATTTAAAGTGGAATCAACTATGCACAGAAGAAGTTGAGGAAAATGAAGGTTTTTTCAACCGGAGAGAGGAGGTGCTCTCAGTTGACGACGGAGGGACGGGAACAAAAAGAGGGGAGGGATTTCTGAGCTAATTGTTGCTAGCATGTTTAGCAAAAGTAAAGAAGAGAACTTAAAATAAAATAAAATACAAGGATCATAATTGCGTGAATAAAAAAAAATCCAGCTGTATGAATGATAGGGGCAGGAAAATAATAATAGAGGAGAAGATTTTAGTAATTGTATCCGCCAATTTAATTATGAAAAAGAAAGGGTGCCATTGCAATTAATTATTTTACAGAAAAACGCAGCACCAAGTACAGTAGCCAGGGAGGGAGGGGGGGAGCCAGCCAGCCAGGGGCATCGAGCATAATCAAGGAACAAACAGGGAATCCAAGTGGTTAAATTACAGGTCCCACTATTTTGCATAAAACAAGCAAGCCACATAATACACTTTCTCGATAATGACGATTAACACGTCAGAATCCAATTGAGAATTAAGTAAATCCCTCGAGCAGTAATTCCACCAAAATCACGAGGTCATTTTTGTCACAAACCAAAACAGAGTCCAAAGAGAAATGTCTGATACGCGTCTCTATGAGGCCCATATTCTTTCTCGCCATTACCGATCCTCAATCCCTTCAAATCCCCCACATCTCTCTTCGCTTGAGCACCAAACCCCAGCCCTTCTCTCTCCTTTCTCTCTCAGAACCAAACAAGAAACTGCAACTATTAAGGACCAAGGATTCATCAATTCTGAATTCTTGTAGAAAAAATAATAATCAAGAAATGGCCCAAAGAACGGAGAAAGAAGAGACCGAGTGCAAGGTACCAGAAAACTTGACTTTATGTATCAATAATTGTGGAGTTACAGGTAATCCAGCAACAAACAATATGTGTCAGAAATGTTTCAACGCTAGCACCAGCACATCTAATCCCTCCTCCACCACCAGCAACACCACCGCCGCCACCACCACCACCATAACATTTGCAGCAACAACCAACGGTGTGTCTACCAACGAGATCTTAAAATTCACCAGCGAGAAATCGTTGAGATCCAGTATATCTCGCTCGCTGGCGAAGGATCATCAAAAGCAACCAAAAACAGCATCGGATAAAGAAAGATCTGACAGTTCTTCCGTGGCGAAGAAAGAGGTGAACAGGTGCTCAGGGTGCCGACGAAGGGTAGGGTTGACCGGATTCCGATGTCGTTGTGGGGAGCTTTTCTGCTGGGAGCACCGCTACTCAGATCGACATGATTGTAGTTACGATTACAAAACTGTAGGTCGCGAAGCTATCGCGAGAGAGAATCCTGTTGTGAAAGCTGCGAAGATTGTTAGAGTTTGAAACAAGAAAAAGAACGTGTTGTTCGTGCTTGCAAAACATCTGGCTGATCGATTCTCTCGATCTAAACCCAGTAGATCTCGATCGAGCGCGTGCTAGCAAGGCATGCCATTGAATCACCATGGATTTCAAGTTATCAAGATGCTTAAAGACCGAGATCAAGATTGAAATTATTCGTGTTGTTGGATCAATCTATAATTTTATTTTATTTTTGCATTTCTTCAGAAATGAAAGATTATTATTAATATTATTATTATCATGGCAATTATTGTGCTTTACCGGAGTTATGCTTGATGTTTTTGTTTTTGTGTTTTTTTTTAAGAATTTGGACATGGTGGCTGTTGGAAATCTTGATGATGGTAATGGCATGTGAATGTAAATCGGACGGGAACAGCGTGGGCTTTTATGTCTATTTAGATTGCATGTGGAACTGGAAATTTCATTTGTAAGCTTTAGAAAGCTCCGGACCCATATGTTGCCATGCGATGTTATGTGCGCTTAAAATATCGTGAGATTTAAATAAGTTAGGATGGGTTCTGGCTAAATATCGTGTTGAAACTTCTTTTATCAACAGGATGGGCAGTAAGTACAGAGCCACTTAGATAGTGCCACGTATGGGAAGTATAAAGTCTCTGGCTTATAAAAGGGAAAGGCAGCGAAGTTGAGTCGGGTCTGACGGGAACATTTGCGTAAGGCAATTGGTTGCGTTTATATGTGAGATAAAAATGAAGGTGGGCAGATCTCGAGAAGAAGTAATGATCGGACGGCTGTGATTGATTATCGTGCAAATGACTTCATAGTGGCGCGGGTACAGGGTGGATTTGAGCAGGTATTTGGGACCATCTTTGCTTTTGGGAGAGGTTGGTGTCCTTTCAATGCCCTGTAGAGCTGTTAAAAGATGTAGCGGTGTTCGGGAAGTAATAAATGTATTAAAATAATATTTTTATAAAATAAAAATTATTTTTAATATTAATATATTAAAAATATTAAAATAAATAGTTTTTAAAAAATTCATTTTCCTTAAAAAAAACCCGTGAACCAATAGCGTGTTGCATTTGCCATTGGCTCGTTTGGAGATGAGTTATGGGTTTTTTTTTTTGGGGGGGCAAATTTTAAAACGACGTAACGTGATTGCAAAGCTTGGCAATCACATTGGATTGTGACGTTTTAAAAAGATAATTTTGCAATTTGAAAAAAATATTTTTTTTCAAGTCTTAAATAAATATTTAATATTAGAATTAATCTGAAAAACATAATTATTTAAATTTTTTTTATTTAGATCTATTTTTTTATTAATTTTTTTATGTTGACAAACACAGTTTTTAACTCAGGTTATTGAGTTTTTTTTTTAAATCATTAAAGCAAGTTAATAAAAAAATAAAAAAATACTATGTTCATATTTCATGGATGATTAAAAGTTAAACAAATTATAAATGTGGTAAAATTATGTTTAATCATTAAAGCAAGTTAATAAAAAAATATAAAAATACTATGTCCATATTTCATGGATGATTAAAAGTTAAAAAAATTATAAATGTGGTAAAATTATGTTTAAAATATATTTAAAAAATTTAAAAATAAAAAAAAATTAAATTAAATTTTTATGAACAATTTATTATTAATATTATTATTTTCATATAAATACATAATAGTTGAAGACAAATTATTAAAATTTAAATAAAAAATTATAGTAGTATTTAAAAACTATAACAAAATTAAAAACTAGGCGAAACTTATATTTTTTCCATGAGGAGCAAAAACATCAACAAAACAAATAAAAATACAACAAAGAGTTAACCCCAGCCCATTAGAAGCAAATAGGGCCCGCATTTTTGACTCAATATTTTATTATTGTTCATAATATGATTTTAAAAAAAAACAAATAAACAACAAATCATTTATATTTTTTTCTTGGAAAGAAAATATCAACCCCTGTTCAAAATCATGACCTTAAACTTGTCTTGAAAGCTAACTAGATGAGTAGATACAAGAATTTGATTTAAAACAATGAAAAAATTATTAATTTAATTTATTATTAATATAAATTATAAAATTAACTTTCGGTTTTTTTAGTTGTTGGTACAACTGAACAGTTTTACTAATTTATAAATATTTTAATATTAATAAATATATAATGAAAATAACAATAATACTTGTGAAAGTGCTAATCAACTTTAAATGAAGAATTTATATTAAATCAAGTGAAAATAACAATAATATTTTTATTATCTAAATAATATAAAATTGTCTCAATCACTTTAAATGAAGAATTTATATTAAATCATATCATTGTTTCAAAGAAATAGAATGAGTTGATATGGAAGAACAATTTATAGTTTATAAGAGAGAAACTAGATCAATTTTTCATTAAAAATGTATTTAACATGGATGAAAAACAATTGCTTTAGAAGTTACAATCAAATCATTCTCTTGTGAAAAAACAACTTGAAGGTGAAGAAAAACTTACAATTGTTATTTGCTATGAAAAGGATGGTTATGCTAATCCATGATATTTTAAGAATGCGGACTTGAGCGATATAAACTGCGAGTATTGTGCCAACAAACAAGCATGAATGTCTAGGGTTTTGCTCTAGGAATATATTCGATAACTTGATATAACAATAGTTAATAATCTCCTCGTTAATTCAAAAATGATTAAAGATTTTAAAATATTAAATTATTTTTCTTGCAACTCAGCACGGCTTCAAAGATTTAGCAATCTCTAGATAACAAATGTTCAAGCAAATATAATTGTAAATTATTCTTAATATTATAAAATTATTACAAACAATAAAGAAGACAAAGTTGAAGATACACTTAATACAACAATCATATTATAAATTTTTTTATCTTGCAATACAAGAGTGAGTTTTAATACATTAATAAGAGTTAAAAGATAACGTTTATAAAATCATTAATTTTTTAAAAAAATAAGTGATATTAAAGTTATATTTTAAAAGATTTTTTAATTGTATTATATATACATATTGATATACGAGAAAATTATTAATTTATAGATGAAGCGAAACTCATGTATGTTTTTGCAATGAATTATCTTATAAACTAAATAAACTAAAAATTAAACTGGTTAAACATATTGTTTATTCGAGATTCTTAATTCACCGGGGTTATCGTTTCATCGAGGCTACGCCATACCTGGCTCTTTCTCATGACCGCTAGCAAAAGCCAGCGCATTCATACAGGACCTCCCCCTACCTTACCACAGAGGAACATCATCACAACTAAGGTATGTTTGAAAACGTGGATTCTATCCAATTTTTTTTAAAAAAAAAAATTAAAAAAAATTGTTTTATATTTTAAATTGTTTTAATATGCTAATATTAAAAATAAAAAATTTATTTTAATAAATTTTTAAATAAAAAAATATTTTAAACCACTGTTGTTATTATTATGATAGGATAAAAAAAATTACGGCTAAAAGTATTTCACTTGGCTTCCCGCCTCTAAACCTAATTTCTTCTAGAAAAGCACTCCAAAGCCAAGATATTTTGAGAGACAAGTTCACTGTACTCAAAGCCATGACTACCGTGAACGTCATAAGCCAATCAAACCGATGCGAATATAATATTTTGTTTTTATATTTTAAAAATATTTATATATTTATATATTTTTTTGTATATTTTATTATTATTTTGATATTTTACTATTAAAAATAATTTTATTTTTTAAAAAATATATTTAAATATATTAAAAAAACAATTTAGAACAAAACAACTATCCATTTCCAAATACCCTTACATATAAAATTGACAATTCCTCTTCACCAGCTTGGTTCAATATTTAATAAAAAAATATATAATTATAGTTATTTTTTAAAATATTTTTTATTCAAAAATTATATTGAAAATTTTTATTTTTAAAAAATTATTTTTGAGATTAATATATCAAAATAATTTTAAAATATAAAAAATATATTAATTTTAAATAAATAAAAATTTTAAAATTTTTAAAAACATTTTTAAAACGGTATACCAAAACACAAAATTAGCCTTCAAAGATCAATGTTTGGCCTTCCACTTCCGGTTAAAACACAACTAACCAATCAATTAGGATTTCACTGGAATTTCTTCAGTCAAGAACCCCCAAAACGAAGAACCCTAGTTTTTTTTTTTTTTTTATCCTTTTGATTTGACTGTTTTCTCTTCTCGAGAAAACAAAGAAAGTTGGGCGTGTACAAATAAAAGAAAATTATAATTATATTCTTCTAAGCTTCACAGCTTTTTAAACTCTTGAAACCTGATCCTGTTTGTCCATTCCGGCAGTCTAATTTTCGCCTTGTTACAATTTGCAGCCGTTTCATTGCTCCGAAGGCTCAAAGAGACTATCCTGATTGCCATGGCAATCAAATCAAGTCACTTGATAACGTGTAGTTATTGATCTTGCTAGAATCATTGAATCAATCCAATTAAACTTTGACATACAATTAACTCAGTCTAGAAAATTATCCATCTAAAACATAGCTTGTTTTAGGTTAGGTTTTTTTTTAAAAAAAATAATTTAAATATTGACTCAATCAAATTTAGGTAATTTAATAGATCAATCTATAACTTGAGTAAGACTTGACGTGGTTAATTTTAAGGATTTATTTTGTAATTTTTTCCTCTCAAATTAACATCAGTTCATTAAAAAAAACATACACTAAAACAATATGATTTTAAGATTGATTTCACGACTTATTGACCTTCAACTCTTAGACAATTCCAACAACTATGTTCAAGAGAACACCTGTTTTTTGTTAATACGATTCTAGGATTACTTAGAGTCAGGTGGGGTTTTGTTCTCACCACTTCCTAGATTGTGTGTGTGTCTATGCTATTTGAAGTGGGGTTTTTTTTTTTTTTTATGCCATTGGCATTTCCATTTCGTTGTTGCTAATGGCACTTCCATAATTTTTAATTTGAAAGTTGATGAAGTTACAGCTTCTGTCGTCTGAAATGTTAGTTTTGATTTTTTAAAAATAATTCAATGTTTGATATCAATTGTTGGAGTTGAGACTTTAAATTTTTTAAAAAGAATAACATAAAGCACTCTGCCACTAGATCACACCATGCATTGAATTTATTTATTTATTACGTGTTTAGATTATATTTTAAAAAATTAAATTCTTTTATATTTTTAAATTATTTTAATACACCAATATAATAACAATACTTTCAACTATAACTACATCATCCAACAACATCCATGGGTCACGAGACATTCATTGAACTCAATGCTCTATCTTTTATATAAGAGATACCAGAGTGTATAACAATCTATAAACAATAATCTTGGTTTATCAATTAAGAAAATATTTAATAAAATTATTAAGATAGTAGCCACTTTCATTTTTTTTCAATTAGGGTATACAAATATAGCATTACTATATTATTAGTGCAAAAGAAATTGTGTCAATTTTTTAATTGGAGTCCAAACTTAAAATAAATACTTTAGTTTTATCAATGCTCAATTTATAAAGTAAGTATTTGAGAGAAATGGTTTTTTAATTGTTATCTGCACTTT